TGTTAAGTATAATGTGTTAAGGTGAGACTTGTATTTGAAACGCGGAGGACTTTGGAGTTTAAGGTTATCTTTTTTTATTTCTTTTTTTAACAATAATGTAGCTATTGTAAATTTTTATATAATTCTTGTGTTCATTATTATTCATCTCGCGAGTGATCTAAAGGCGGGGCACTTTACATCTCTCTCTTTCTTACTCCCGTTATGATACAGTGAGATCCTAAATTTATCCCTCTTTCATGTATCTCGCTTTTTGTTAGTCATAAAAGGATCTCCTACGGGGTTTTGTGTCGTCGCCTCTCACTCTGCAGGGACTACATCAGTCATGTATTATACAAATCATTTAAATAGAACTGGCGTGCCCTGGTACTTCTCACGCATTCAGTTACTGAAATCTAAGCTTTCCCCTTTTTACGCCCTCCCGTTTCTCTACTTCTCTACCCACACCAGTTCTCTTACACTTTTTGCTCCGATATATCCGTTCGTGATCCTTTTTACCAGGGGTCGAACTTCTTCAGTTCGCGTTGCTCGACCCCTTCTCATCCATTAAGGTTGATCTAAGGCGAAGAGATCCATCTCAGGTATCAGCGCTTTCCCGTAATCGTAGATGGAAAATTCGGCCATCTGTCGAGCAAGATAATCACGAAGTGAATTAGTAGCGAAGAGAAGAGTCTAATGTAAAGAAATATAAACTGCTAAAAAATTTCTATTAACACTATAATATCTTGACGATAATTCTACGTATGAGTCATCACGTTTTCAATAATAATTATGAACACATTGTGAGGAAGCGTTTTTAATTAACGGCTAATTCTAAGCACGTTGGAAAGAAAGTTCTACTGTTGTGGGAACATTGATCGGCGAATACAAGCATGTGATTTTCCTTAATAATTTTCCTTTCAAGCGTTCTCTTATGCTACTCGCATTTTCACCGTTCGCTAGAAAAGAAGCTAGAACAAATGTTGCCGCGTGTAATCGATGTTTTCACTATGTACTCATATCGATTTTGTAGAAAAGAAAACCGTACGTACCGTTGCGTAGATACGTACGTTGACCTGCCATCCATACGGTGACACCAGGTTATCCACCAATGTGACATTGACAATGGTACGAGCAGGTCTAACGAATTTACTGCGTTGCTTCCTCCCCCCCCCCTTCGTTTCCCCGCTACTTCCTGTCCCGCCTATGTCATAGATCCGTATTCTGATCCGCACATTTAGTATTAAAATGACTTACAGAGGTAAAGTCAAACGACCATGTAATACATACATATATTTGCTTATTTTAAACTTAACTCTCCGCTGACAATGTTGACTTAACTTAAAAAAACAGTTGATTTTTTTATTGTGAAATTCTAGTAGATAAATTTAAATCTCTAAAAAAAAAATAAATAAAATACAATACAATTTCTGTGATAATAAAGAAAAGTTGTTAAAGCTTTTACAAGTGTGTGAGAATTTTTTTTAGATATTTATATAGTTCGGAATAATATACCTATAAAAAAAAAAAAAAAAACCAAAGTTTGAAGGGTCAGGTTACGAGGGATGAAAATTTAATTTGTTGACGGAGGGTGGAAATATATATTGTTCCATAAAGTTCATGTCTCCCCATATCAGTTGGGCCAGAAAAAAATCGACAATTTAAGAAAGAAAACACCGATTCTTACCACCAAATCGACTGCAAGTATAAACGACAAGAGAGTTCCGTCGGAGCTATCACTGCTTACGGATGTGTGACGGTTTTGGTTTCTGATTACCGCTCCCTGTATTCGGTTTAAATAAAGCTTGTGTTACGTGATAAACAAGTCTCCCTCATTTCACGACTGCTATACGTGGATAGTATAAATGTTGGCTCTAGCTTAATTTACACTTCCCACTCTTTCTCCCGAATGCGACAATATCTCGTAGTAATATAAATTGTTTATATTGATTGCGTACAAAAATTTTTATCTTGAGCGTACACGTTTAAAATCCTATTGACTTCAATTCCAGGATAGTATATAGCGTAGTCGAGAGTTTGCTAATTACAGTCTGCTTTAGCGACATAAATCTCAGCTCCGGTACCTACCTAAATGGAAGTCTAGGCTGTTAGACCTATTTTCCATTGTTGAGAACAGCCGATGAAGTAAGTAGGTACGATGGTCTCCCCATCAACCAGTGCTTGATGAGATTCGCGTAGGTTCTTGACCGCGTTCCCTATGCAAAGATTTTTTTTTCTTCGGGATCCAGGGTCGCCCTCTAATTAAACATCAATATATAATTATAGACTCGCGTATAATTAGGGGCGGACTCGTCGGCCTAAGAATACATCGATTTCTGTCACTGCGCATTAGCCGCGGGGTCACTGCACCGTTTATAAACGTTCCATAGATCCCCCGATGGCGAATTATAAATCATCTGTAATGAGTGCGCCGCCTTTGAACCGTTACAGGCTTACAGCTAATTTTCATCGTGGCTACGTAAGCGGCGATGCTCTTTTTGTTAGCCGAGAAAAAGATTTCGTGGCGATTCGAATAATCGGAATAAATAAGGCACGAGAATGTATCCGCATATGCATTCGCATTGTTCAGGAATCGATCTCTCTTAAATTTTTATACGACCTAAAAATACTTTCTGTCGTGTGTCGAACTATTGTACACTTTTGGAACTCAAACAGAGATAGGTATAAGTTTGTTATTGGATGAAAGCGAGAAGGAGAGTTTTAGCGTAGTTTAGTGGAGGAAATATAAAAAATAGATCTGATGACTTTTCGATTATTAGTGCAAGCATTGGATGCACCATTTGCGGTAACGATACGCCTTCACATGCGCATCGTTCCACATTTGCAGCGAGGCGAATCTATCGCGCTCCATTGTCCGACACTAACGAGACGAGCTTTAATTATTCTTACATTGTTTTGCAAAGCAAAACCGTCTCTGCCGCCCGATTGTTCTCTGATGCACCGAGACGACCGTAGATTTTCTGTTCATCAAACGTGCTTTATTTATGCGAAAAAATACACGGCGCATCGATATTTTTTCGCTTCTTCGTTCTACTAGCCTGATTCCGTTTCGCCCACGAAAATCGCATTATTTATCCGCATCGAGCATTTATCTGCCTCCTTGAATCGGACACTACAACCTCGAAATAATACGGGAATGATATTAATCCCACTTAAACGTATAATGGCTATTCAAACAATAAGAGCAATTTTTACACAAAAAGAATTTCTACACAGACGTCTGAAGCCAAAAATTTAGCTAAATACAGAATCTGAAAGTAATTTTGTTGGACATCAAAATAATATAATAATTATGTGGGGGACGCTCAAATATAATAAATAATATATTATAAAAAATATGGACATTTGAGTAATAATCAATTTTGAGCGTCCTACGTATCTCATTTTTTTCGATGGTCCAAAAAAGTTATTCGAACAGAGTTCATATTATGGAATTATTCGGAATGGATTCCGATCCGGAATTATTCAATTATTGCCTAAATTTCTATTGCGTTTTTTAGGGAAAAATGGGAAAATTCCGATCGGAATTCATTTTCGAACACTTCAATAATACATACACATATTTCGATCTGCGTCTAGTTAAACTTGTATACTTCAGCGAAACTGTTCTTTCCGTGTAAAAAAACAAAAAAAAAAAAACAAACAAACAAATAGCTTTCTAAGAGAAAACAAAGCTAGTAGAGGACATTTATCATCGGGTATCAAACAGTCGTGATTCCAGTCGTAGAGGATCGCACGATGAATGAGAGCGCAGCATCGGAATCGTAATCGCCCGCGGCGTCATTTCTTCAGCGCACTTATCGCCTGCATATCACGGACGTGCACTCACGACACGCACACGTGCAACGATGCGCATCCGCACACGTGTCCCGTCAACACCGATGCGCTCGAAGCCACCCACGTTAACGCTTTGTCTCCGATTGCTAAATCGCGTGTTTGGTCTGCGGACGGGCGAGGCAAACTCGGGAGGGCTCGGAGGATAGATCGCGGTAGGCGAAAATATGGGCGCGAGTCAAAAAGAGACCGCGTCATTGACGAGCGAAATGTCGGAATAATGTTGAACGATAAAGCGCGACGAATAAAATGATTAGTTTTTACCGTCGCTTCGCGGCGAGCCTTATTATTACACCAGCGGAGATGTAGGCCGGTTAACTGATAATTGTTTTTTCAGGCGCGAATAGATAATTCTATCAACGATGTCTTCTCGAAACGAGAAATAGTAGGTATATCGTGAAAAGATGACTGTGTACGCTATTTATAGCTCGTTCTTATTTCAAAACCGTTAAGTAGTGTCTTTAGATAATATGCGGCTTTATTTTCATTTATGACATCTTAAAACGATACTTAAGACGGCCTTAAATATAAGAATCGATTATGCATATCAGCCTACGGATACTGATGAATTCTGTAATTTTTATATAGCTTTTATGGTAAAGTTAGCCAATGCACAACGAGGAGTTACTTACGTACGTTCACGGAAGCAATGCAATTGAGATAGATAGAAATGAAAATAATTTCATTGAACTGTCAAAATAACTACGTAGAAAATTCGAGGCGCCGCAAAACGTTTTCTACATAATTATTTTTAGATTTGTATTTCGCACAATTTTGAGATCTCCCAGACTCGCGATTATTTAGACAATCGCTGTCCCACACTCGCTGTAACGAACGCCCGTTTTTTTTTTTCCCTGATTACAGAGTCCTGGAACGTTGCACAAGGATGTCGGCGGTGCTGGTACGAAGGTCAGCGAGAAAACCGTCGGTGGCGTCGGTACGGCGACCCTCACCACGCTCTCCTCCATTAATAACGCATCCAACGCCGGCCGTAATAAAAACAACCCCGTATCTCATGAGGTAAGTTACAACACGACCGTTGGATGGGACGGGAGAGAGAGAGAGAGAGAGAGAGAGCGAGAGATCTTCGCGCATTGATCGTAGCTGGGCGATACGTCATCCCGGGGCCCCGTAGATGACTCGGATAATTAACCGGTCCCGCGCTTGAATTTATTGCCCATTAATCCCGCTCGCATTCGCGATCGGGTGGGCCCCGCGTGCGTGCGATGCCGCACGCGTGGAATCGGCCCAGCCTTTCCGCCTCGCGATACCTACACATGTGCATGCCTTACATCTGTATGCGCCGTTCGTACAGGCACACGACATTATTCAGTGCATGACTTATTGGACGCGGCACGAAGTACCGTTTACAGTTTAGTTCTACTTTTGCCCCTGTGTCGCTCATCGGTCGTTGTGTAAAAGAGATCCGCGTGGAGAGAGAGAGCAGCCGCGTCCGCGCTGTTTGTACCGCGCGAGGGAATCTGATTGATGAAAAGTGTTTGTCTCATCTCGAGATTTTTCAATTCCGCGTCTCTCGGCGACACTTTACAGCATGAAACGTTTATGTGAATCATTGTTTTTTTTTTTCTTGCGAAATATTTCAATAAAATGTGTGTTTCAGAAATATTTCGTGAAACATTTTGAAACCATTACGTTAAAATATTGTTTCGAAAATATCGTACAAATCTAAGAAAAAGGATATTTGAAGACTCTGATTATTCTGAATAATATTTATATTTCGGAAATATATATTTCATGAAAAATTACTGAAATATTTTATGCTATGTTCGACGTCTGATGTACGTTTTAACGAAGACTCGGGCGCCTTTTGGCATTTTCCAAAAAATGTCTGTTTCCCAACGAAGACTTTCCATTTATCTGTGATATTTTCGGAATTCGTTCCGAAACGGAAAGAGAGAAGTATGATGGAAGATTATTAATCAGCATTCGCGAATGCGGAACTTCATGCCTCTGCTCGCGCCTTTGTTCAGGAACATATTCGAGGGGGATAAAAAGAATCTCGCCGATGACGCGATCAGGAATATAGTTCGCACGATTCGCCGACTCGGTTATCACCGAGGTACAATGTGCGCGCCGGTCTCGTACGTAGGATTTTATTGACCATTGTTAACGAGAAAAATTGTGTCGGTGCGTCGATCGTGCATTTATCGGGTATCCGCATAAATTCGTAGAATAAAGCCTCACTATCGACGGCTATCGCGGCGGCGGATCCGTGACGTGGCTCATTGCGATTTTTGTTAACGGGTTTCATCAGGAATTATACGGGACGGGAGGGAAAAATTCTCTCCCGAGAGGATGGACTCGCCCGCGACGTTACTCGGATGAAACTAATTGAAAATTGTTGCCGTCGGCTACCTGTTAGGTCGCGATAAATTGTGTCTCTCTGACGTGCGCACGCTACGGATTGTCTTGTTCCATTGCCATTTCGACGAAGCCGTCACGAGAGATGAAACGGTACTGAATTTCTTGTGCGCGATTCCGTTGTCCTTTGCCCCGCAAAATGGCCAGGTAGAATTGCAATACTATCGTATCTACGATGGTCGCGAAGCAATTAGAAGCGCCTTCTCCGAACTGAAACCGATATCTTAACGAATACGAAGGCCTATTTAAACGAGTCACATAGTCCTGAAAGCGCGTCATTTTTCCTTGCTTTGTTAATTTAATCCTCCGTTTGCAATCCTCCATCTGGGATTTTTGTCCAGTCCAAGTTTTTTTTACCGTCCTATGCTTTCAAAAAAATGTGGAAAAATGTAGGATTACCGTTCACATCTCTATACGGAAAGAACGGTTGCTGAAATATCTAAAATTTTGCTAGATATGGATTCAAAAGTGATTTTGTTGGACCATTAAACTAATTGAAGAAATGTCAAAACATTGTTCTGCAACATTGTTCATCGTGCTTGAGTGTGCTACATAATTATTTTCACGCAGTCCATGAAAATTATTTTCAGATCTGTATTAAATATTTGGAAACTTTAGGAAAATTCTTCTTTCGGTGTATTACATTATCAAATAGATAAAGGGATGAATGGGTGAGGTAGAATTTCCTCTTTGCAAAACGAGTCCGTGTCTTGACTTTTGCACATGCGGAAATGAATAACATATTCTGCATTAGTAGAAAACTATATATTCTACAAATAGTTGTTTTAACTTAAATGTTAAAATTTTCATTTAATGAAAATTGAAATTTGATCGAAGATGAAGGAAGAGAGCGAAATTTCATTTGTGTCGGAAAAAGTTGAAAGACCGAGTTTGCGGGAAACTTAACTTGCAAATCAACTGCTTCCTCCATAAGACATTTATCGGTATGTCAACGGCCAATATTGATATCGTCGCCATCGACCGCAGTTGACCGCTTCATCCGATGTGTATTAATTGCCTCGCCAAACACTCTCATTGAGAAGTACAAAAAAAATCCTTCCTGAGCGGCTCGCTGTGGTTAATTTACTCGCCCGACTGTCATTACGCCTGTCGCGGCCTCGATTCCGCCGCTACATTATTTCTTGCACCTCTGTGGGACAAATCGCCACGTCACCGTCGTTTGTCTCCCTTAATGCCCAGCGCCTTTTTTCGCGAGTCCATTACGTGACCGAAACGATCGGATTTCCTTGCGCTAACTATACGCGATCGCGATCCCTCATGCGCGTCGCGGTTTTCAGAAGCGCGGTTTTCGTGCACAAATACACGTATATATACGCGGGGAGGCAAGCTGCTTTTTATCTCGCGGATTGTTGCCACGGCGCTTAATGCGCTTATATCTGCATGCACCTCTGCCAGAGATGAAACGCGCAGGAAAAAAACGCAGTTCACCGTTACTTACGGGCGTCGGTTGCACGCGATACGTACGGTTTATCGCGCCGCGGTTTACCGTGCTCTCCGTCCAATTCGTATGAATTTAGAAAGTCCAGCGCGCGAGATTTGCAACTAATTGTTGTATCACGCTTGTGCAACTGCAGTGGGCGTGAAAGCCAACGTTCGCCTCTCCGGTTACCGTCATTTTGTAAAACGAAAGCGCTCACGAACCAGCCGACTCGAAGCGCGGATTGACGAACGTTCGTTGGTGCGAGCTCACCTGGCAGAGCAATTAATCTTTTAAATTTTTACCTTCATTGATTTTTCCTCTTTCAGTCGTTTCCTAATCACATTATGCGCCTAATCTATATCGCGGATTTTATCAATAATGTTAAAATAAACTATTTCCATTCGTGTCCAGAGTACTTTTCGCATTGACGGTTTTCCGATGAATAACATTAATAGTACTGTTCGGTATAATCGAACATTGATAATAGATATTGATCGCTGGAATCAAGGATAGGTCGATCGTGTGCGAAGACTATTCTTTAGCAAGTTCAGGGAAATGTCTTCGACACAAATGGCTCTTACAGATCGGTGCCCTTTATGAAACAAGACGACGTGACTCACGTCACTTCGAGACATTGTCGAGAGTGTGGTATGGCGTAACAAAGATAAGACCATAAATACTAACTAATCGATAAAATGATATAATTCGTAGGCGTACCGCTCTGTAATTTCTTTAACCTCCTATTTAATTCCATTTTGTGCAACTTTTACACACGCTAATACGTTGTAAAAGTCACGCAGTGCCTAGTAATCCAATATTTTACGGCGTAATCTAATTAGAGTGTACGAATATCTTGCGTAGTAGATACTTAAAGGAGTTCTGCGATATTTGCGTTCTCAAGATAATTTATACGTAACTCATCGGATAGATTTACCATGGATAGACCATGCGGGACTTCGTGTGGAATCGCAAACTTCGTGTAACGCTCGAAGCGATTCGATGCAGATATCGTAGATCGTTTCGCTTCGATCGAAGCATTGTGGTGGCGACGATGCGCAGCTTGCGAGAGATAATTTATATTAATTTCAGCTTCATTCAGTCAAATTATTTACGCGTACGTAAATGTCAATGCGATTGAATCGAAACTATCTCATCCGTGCAAATGCCGCGTGTGTCCGCTCTTTAAAATCGAGTTAGAACAGAGGAATACTTGGGCGCACGTATGTTATGTAAACCATATGCGGTTTGTGTGCTCTGATAATGTTTGTGTATCAATCGTTGTCTCGGATTCCTCGTTAACATACATCGGTACACCTCACCTGACACCGTCGATCGCTCTAATCACAATTAGAGGGTATCCGATTATTCTTCGATGTAGGTGTGACTCCGTTATGTCCGTCATGCTTTTGTTAATACCAGTGGAAATAATAATTTCGTCGTTCCAAACGGTTCACTCTCGTATTCATTACAATCCGTATTCGAAGCTGAATATCGAATTGTAGCTGAACATTGATGAAGTTGTTTTTTTTCCTCTCTCCTACGATAAACAAAAATCAAATACGCGTTGATCAACGATTCACCGGAAGAAATCCGTTTAATTTCGAGAGGGAATTTTACATCTCGCATATTCTATATTTTCATTATTTTACATTGTTCTACGTGATGCACGATGATTAAATTGTTGGCAAATTTCATTTGGTCATTTTGGTTCGCTTTGTCTCGTGTGGAATTGTAAATTTGCGATTTGTACCATGAAGGCCTTTAATTTCGGTCGATCCAAAAATGGAGTTGCAGCAAATCGGAAACGCGAATGGCATTCTCCTCTCTCTCTCTCTCTCTCTCTCTCTCTCTCTCTCTCGCGCTAATTAAATCTGCAGCGCTTACGTACGCTTTGACGTCGGAGACAAGTCGATTGTTTGCAATTCGACTGCGTTAAATGTTACATCAAGGATTCAGTACGTAAGTTGATAAAGCCGCGGTTGCTTGTCACAATAACGCGCTGCCGTAAGTACGTACGTCATACGGCCATAAGAAGCCATAGCGAGAATCATAAGCGTGCAGACAAGGCAAGCGTGGCGTAACTCGATCGCCTCGCATTGTATCTCGGATTTCGTGATAGCATAAATATGCTACGTGCGGGCTACCCCCGATGTGGAATCGATCCTAGACGAAAGTAACACAATGCCGAGAGATTAAC